GCCCTGCATTTGCTCTTCGGGTGAACATCGGGAAAATCCGAAGTTGTCTGAGCCACTGACCTGTATACAGCTTTGGATGTCTGCCTGTCCGTCTTTTTTCACGTTCAGAAACCAGTTCAGAAACCAAGCTTCTTTTGGCTCGAAAAACATGGCCGTTCAAATTTTCAAAAAAATCATACCCAGATAGAAAATGAGATATATAGCCCCTAACCCGCTTCAGCCCCCTCTCATTCATAATGACGTTGGCCCATCCCCAGAAACTATTTTAAAACTGCCCCCATCTCTCAATCCAACCGGACCACACTCCCTCGCAAATAATAAGCGGTCCTCCTAATGGAACTTTTGCGAAAATATGTCATGAAAGTACAAACATTACTTTTTAGTGACTACTTCACAGTGTTCCCCAATTTCAACCCGGAAACGAACGAGTACTGTGTCTTCGCAATTTCCAAGACTAGATCAGTGACTTATATAGATCAGATATAATTGTTTAATAGTTTATCAGAACATTCGTCCGTGGGAGAGGTATGGTCCGTATGGATGTTTTCTGTAATGACCCATTGTAAATTACATTTCCAATGCATTGTTTAATTGAGAAAAATAGCATATGCATATGTCATGTGGAAGATCTTTGCAAACCACGATTTTATTAAAAGATGGAAAGTAGGGTATAACGATGTGGAATTATAATTACTGCATTTATTTCAGAGAATGCAACTTCATTCACAGAATATAAAGACACATGCACTCAGCAACGAACATGAAAATGTACAACAGCCTACAACAGCTACATAATCCATTTTTTTTATAAAGTACAAATTCGTCCCGAACCGCACGGACACCGTTTTCTGTTTTGGAATTTTTAGATATTTTGCCAAATGAAAAAATACGCAATAACCCGAGGACAACTAGAGGTGCCATGGACAGTTGTTGTAGATGGCGAGATCTGGTAAAACCTTGGCGATTATGAGTCCGGATGCCGAAAATCCTGGGGGCAACCCTGCGCACCAACGCGACCGAATTAACAAGACAAATATATCTATTTTATGAACAGATTGTTCCACATAAGGGTGTATTTATCCATAGTTAATACTATGATTTATCTTAATCTTGAAACATGAAAATATGTCAGATATGTTCAGGACAAGGTGCGTGGCAAATGAATCCAATGGCCCAACATATTTTGAAAGTTTGTAAATGCTGTTAGGACACTTGGATGCGTTTTCAAGATGTGATTTGTGCATTTCAATCTATATTTAGATTTTGGGCGCATTGTGCTTTTATCTAAGTGGGCGAGTGGCGAGAACACAACGGCTGGAATCTGAGCCTAGCTTTTATCGCGCGCAAAGAAATTGCAACGCGCACACTCAATTTAAATTAGCATGCACTGGTTGTCATCCTCTTAATTGTACTATGCATGAAACTTTGCGCACTTTATTCTGATCAACATGCACCTTAATTTATTTTTCAAGTCTAGAATATATAGAGCATACGTCATTATTTGCACATGGAGTACACTCCGCATTACAGCAGCACGCGCGCGCTGGTGGTTAGAGCGTTGCACTAGTATCGCAGGGCCGCAGGCTGTATGGTCAGCAATATGCAAATTAGGTGAAAGCATTAATTAAGCATGCGAAAGGCTGATTTTTTAGGGAAAAATGAAGCAAATTGTCTGAAATTTTGTACAGTAATTTATTAAAAACCCAACAAATGTTCCACCTATTAACTCAAAATGATTAAAACTTTTAAATTTCGTCCGCACGCCATTTTTAGTTTGTTGGAAAAGACACCCCCCCCCCCTCCCTGGTTCACAAAATTTGAATTAGATAAATATTTTTCATTATTCTACATTACAAGTACCCAAAGAAGCTATATATACATAAAAAATGGATACTAATAGCTGTTTTGCGAAATCGAGAGCAAATTCATATCTGTTCAGTTTTTTTCATACACCCTGTATAATGAAAATTTCATTTATCAAAATTTCAACGGAGGAAGGGATAGAGATGATAAGAATCTGCATGGGTACGAGGTTGCCTATTCCCAGCCAACTACTATTGCTATTTGTTGAGTCAAATGACTGGATGTTACGATCAAGTCACTTTCCAGCAACGCCCGTCCATAATCTCAGATTTGGTTTTCCTGTTTCCTTGCGGAGAGCTTCAAGAGCGATATCTAAGGAACAAACTACGCTGAAACAAGAATCTCCCATAAAATAGACTGCAACAATAATCCCCCACGCACGGTTTTCTTCATCGAAGATAACTGCTCCAGAATCACCATTTTCAGAAAAAAATGATTTCTTTTGCGGTTCCCGATGCCATTGCAATTTACTTTTAACCAAGAAACAGTTCTTAGCAAAGATTCCGTGTTTCGTTTCATTTTGGGTTATTTGTCGCTGACACTTTTTGCACAAACATGTCTCCGGAGGGTCCTCGCGTGTATAACGATCGCAACGCATGTTTCTAGTGCATTCTTCGCAGAAGTTAGGTAACTTGCAATTAAATGCAAGAGTACGAAATTCACCTTCCTCGGTCAGCCTTGTCTTTGCACCAGATTTCCAGAATTTAGCCCCATCTGGTTCCTTTCTGATCTCTAACCAGGGCACGACTTCACCGGTGATGGTACGTTTTGGATATGGTTTACGGTTACCAGCTAAAATCTCGTCACGCTGGTCATCACAGAGTTTAGCTATGCCTGCGTCCACAAAAATGTCGTGGCCTTTATGGGGAAAGTTGTCTAGATAACCACCAACATATCTCGCAATACACCTGGGCAACTGATCATCAAGCAGTTCAACCAATCTAAACTTTTCGGTTTCTATTTCAGATTTCATTCTCCTAATGACATTATTTTTTTCGCCGCGGCTTTTTTCCAAAATATCTTGCCTTGATTTGATTTTCTTCTCACACTCACTCACTTCAGCGATCACGTCCTCCTTGGTAGGATGTTCGATTAATATTTCACCTTCTTTTGGCACCCTTACGTGACTTTTTATTTTTCTGACCTTTTCATTTTCGATTTTCGAGTTCGCATTATTACTAGTGTAATTGTTCAATCTTTGTTCTTCCACCGGGTCCGATTCAGCCGTTTGCCCATCAGCGACGTCGTCACTTTCTAATATTCCGGTTTCAGCAGGTTTCTTTGCACCAGAATTCTTTTCACCGGCACTCTCTTCACCAAAGTTGTTCTCATCGGTTGCAGGGTGTTCGATTAATATTTTACCCTCACTTTTTATTCGTCCGGTTGTATTTTCTAAATGTTTCCTCGCATCACTAATTGCATTCCTAAACTTTAACTCTGCAGCACGCAAGGTATTTACCTTTTTTTCCGAATTTCTTATCTCGCCTGTTTCAATATCAAGTTCCTCTAATTTTTTCTCTGTAGCACTGATGCAATTTTTCAATATTTTTTCTTCCTTCAAGTCCGATTCAGCTGTTTGATCATTAGCGACACATTCTGATTCTCCAGTTTCAGCAGGTTTCTCTTCACCAGAGTTCTTCCCATCTGCTTTCTCGTCAGCAAGCGTCTGCTCAGCGGTGAGCGCACGATCCTGTTTAAACAGTACGTGATTACATGACAGCAGATAGTAATCATGTCCATCTGTCAAAAAAGCACCCAAAGTCCCAGTACCAGCCATTCCCCTCACTCCTATTCCAACACCACAACGCAAGCCATATTCCACACGACAAGTTGGCACAACATATCCTTGAACGACGTCTAATGGATAGTCACCTAACCAATCCGGTAAAACGTCTTCTCCAACAGGGATTTTCCCTTTTCCCACCACAGAAACTGCAATACATAGATCATCAGTTTCCTGGTGATTGGAAATTTTGTACGAAGGATAAACCGCCGTCACATTAGAGCGATTTACGAAATAAGGAAAATTCTCCTCAATGATTTGCGCTATATTCGTCATTTCTTCGAAATTCCTCTTGCTTTCACTTGATCGGGGCATAAAATAGTCGCCCAGTTCCTCGTGCTCGAGATCCACGAACTTCAGCTCGTAGTTACAGAACATTTTCTTGGCTAATTCACGAAATTTTGCACTGATAGCCACACCCCTGGTATGCAGGTATACATTTACCACGACAGACTGCTTATCAGAATCGGTAAAGTTTGGAACGGCCGCAATGCAAAAAGGAATAGCTCTCTCAAATTTCTTCGCCAAGATGCGAACTTCATTCCAACAAGACTCGTTCCCGTGAGTTTCACACTGAAAACAGATTACGTATGAAAATTTTATCTACAGTTTAATTCTACCGCTTATTATACGTGCTTTACATAATAAGTGGCTTACTAGAGTGAACACTTTTATAACAAAATTTGGTGGTCCTAGCCACAAATAAATATTGTTAGCGTGGTCAAGAAAATCAGTCACTGTTTGGAGGAACAAGTGCGAATGTGAAACATATTGAACTGTAGTGGTTTAAAAAACGTAATATTGCAAGCTAAACCTCACGTTAGAAGGCATATGGCCAAGCGTACATGGAGCGATTATATAAAAGGCCACATTCCAGCTCGGAGTCTTGGCATTTTCATATGGAAGGGAGTGTGTACTGTTTATATATTTTTAATATTTTACTGTCACTTTGACTATGACGCGACATTAAATCTCAGTCCCATTAAATCCCATTAAAATAATGGATATTTTATGCTACAAAAAGGAATTTTGCTTCCAAAAGATAAGAGGAAACATTGCTTAGCTTTGTACAAATAGGTATCACTTTTGCATTCCTAATTATTTTGACAATGAAAAAATTCATCTTTCTTTATAATATACACCAATGTTATAATTATAAGACTCAGATATATTAACCGTAAAATACTTGCAAAAGGGGCCCCTCCCATTTGTACAGTTTATTCAGTCCAGTATTCTTTCGCCAAATTTTAAATAACAAATAAGTTAGTATACAAAATAATAATGAATGTGAGTGCTATGGTAAAAAATATTTTCATTGGGCAAAAGATGGAATTTTCCATTCACGACGTGACAGCCTGCGCACAGGCTGCCATTTTGCTTCGCACTAATTATGTATTTGAATTTAATTCCAAAAGTCTCAATATAAAAATTATGTACTATTTAAAACACGAGTAGGAGTGTTTTATCAGATATAAAACGCGAGGCGCAGCCGAGCGTTTTATATCTGATAAAACACGACAACGAGTGTTTTGAATAGCTTAAAATACGACTACAAAAGAATACTAATTAGGATGAACCATTATATAATCATGCTAATTAGTATGAACAATTATATAATGTCACATGTGTTTTATCAGATATAAAGTCACTCCACGTGACATATTATGGCTGACATGATTTGCCACAAGGTTTATGAATTATTAATGAGTATTTTAAGGTTAATTGAGCTACAATTACGATACGATTAAGGTTTTGACGGATGGAATTCAATGAAAACCAAACATTGCAACGGAACAAAACGTATAGTACAAAAATGCACGGTTGGATCTCTCAGAGAATGTCACGCGATTATAATTTAATGTTGGCACCACCCCCAGCCCGATTCGAATTCCTTCAATTAATATGCATTTTGGTCTGATTATTTTTTTAATAAGCATAAAGTTGTGTGTTGCTTTGTTGTTTTTAGGGGTTTTAGAGGCTGAGGATTTTAATCCTTCAGCAAAGCAAATAATTTGTGCAAATAATAATTGCACAATTTGAGCAAATAATTTTGTAGTAAATAAATGTTTCTGCTTACACCCGCAATGGGAAATGAAAGAATTTTCAAACCTGTTTTTTCTCTGAACTCCATTTCTGAACAACTTCCAAAAGTTCGTCAACTTCACTTCTGAGTAAAGTCAAGATTTCATTGTCGACAGGTTGACCAAAACACAACTGCAATCCTGAAATAAAGTTGCACTCTTATAGTTATGTTGAGAAAATCATTATTACAAGTACACAATGACGATGTTTAGCATGGATTCTGTGTTTTATAGTTTCTTGTTACGGTACTTCTTTTAGTATTGGTTTTATAAAATTCGATTTCATTCCTTCCACAGAAGTGTTTTCTAATCCTCTTAATATACCTCAATCCTCCATCTTTGTTTTTAAACTGGCAGACTCAAATAATTGAGGAATGAACAAATGCATGGTGATGCAAATAGAGAAACAGTTTTGGTTCCACGCAATGCTGAAGTTTTTATGGAATTGTACAATTAATACAAATGATCCCAGAGTCGTTCCAGATAAGAAAAATCTTGGTCTTGGAATCACTCGCCCTTTGGCATGGGGCCGTTTTCAAGAATACGGGCGGCACAATTTTCGCTGTGGAAACCACACAACCGGTAAATAACACTGGAATGAGAGTTGTACTAACTCAAAAACATTAAAAACGCATCTCTAACTCGATTTATATATTAATTAAAGGTCAACTGAAGAAAAAGAAGATAGTCCGAGAGGAAAGAAACAAAACTTGGAAAAGCAACAGATACATTTGTATTAAAGTTCATGTTATATTTAACAATTATTCGCCGAAGGCGAGTTTTACCCAAGTCTTTTGTGTTATTTGGTACTGAATTTACTTTAATTTCGCTTATTTCTTTACCAGTAAACTTCCACAAAACGGCTAGCCGCCATTTTGAAAATTTCAGTTTTGTTATATTTACCTGTAGGTGAATATAACAGCTTAATACGTCAAATTTGACCAATCAGGTTGTAGGATTTGTTATGTTCACTTGTGCAAAAATACTAATACAAAATATCATAAATATGCAAGAGAGGTAGGATTTGAAGTATCCCAATAACTACAGCTAATTGAATATAAAATTTTAATTTAATTAATCACGACATAAATGTAACCTCGTTCTCCCGAAATGTAGTGGTGAATAATAATCCGAACGCTCGTAGAATGCTGAGAAACTGCCTCGTCCTCAGGTGCTATATAACAAATATATTAAGTATTCCAGAGGTGTTTACAGGCGCGCAGAGAGCAATGGGTGTATGCAAAAAAATTGTGACTGTAAATGTCATGAGAATACTTCATGTAAACGTTTTGTATAGTGCCTGGGGACGAGGCAAGCTGGAAAAATTGGGAAGAATCATTGGATCAAGCAGATTCACAATGGATAATATATTTTGCTCTGCAAATCTGGATTGCTGATTCTCAAGGTTGAATACCTGAGATAGATGCTATACTGTCTACTTGGATACTCTGAATCTCTCAAAATCTAGAATCCTCCCATGTCTATGGACATAAAGTTTCATTACCTTTAATTTTCCAGCTATTGAGTTCATCACACAATTTCTGTTCATCATTAGGTGGCAGATTCACATTCTTCAGTAAAGTTTCCATATTTTGAAAAGTATCAAAAATTTTTGGTTCCGTCCATTCTGCATAGTTGCAATGTGCCCACTCGTTTCTGATATCTGATCGAACTGTCTTTGCATGAGCAGCAGCTCCTACAAATGGGGCAGCTTCACAAATCACTGATAAGACTGCAGATATGTCCATTGTTACGTCAAAGCCAGTGAACTTGGACATGAATGGTTTAACAAACAACTTTGCCAAAGACAATGGATCCTTAACTGCATAATCAAATGCACGAGGTGATCCAATGGCATCATTGTTGTTGATACTTTTATAGTTGAGGTTCAAAGTTGATGGGTGTAACTTTTTCTGGTGTCCACCAAGAACTTGTTTGTCGATTTTGGTCGGTGGTTGACATAAAACTTGATGCCACTTTGGTATTTCAGTTGCAAGAACATTTCTCAATGCAGGAGTAAGCACTTTGATCAAACATACACCAATGACAACCCATCTTCGTTCTTCGTTTGATACGGGGGTTGTACTGGAGACGCTAGCCATTACTGATCTACAACATTAAATTTAAACCTAAATTTCAGAATGATACTTTCACGTCAAACTTGCACAGGGATTGTGTGAATGTGAAAGCTGCAGCAAGGCTGGATTTTGGTGGAAATGGTGCGAGGTGGAAAAAATTTTGGGATCTAGTTGTTTTTCTCAAAAAATTTTTTTTAACTTTTTCCTGCCCTTTCTAACTCTGAAAAAGTTAGGGTTAGAGAACGGTTGGAATCGGTCTATCTTATAAAAATTCAACTTTAACTAAAGTCACTACAGAGCCAGCAGTTTACTAAATACCGGCTACGGCTGTATAGTCACTAAATATATAAATGCTTGCTCAATAATTGTGAATAAAATTTTTTCATAGCAACCATAGCAACCAAGCGTACCTAATTTTTAATTACGACTGTACAGCTCATTATTTTTTTTCTTTCATGACATTGCTACAAAGTTGTTTTGAAACATTGCAATAAAAGGGTACTTGACACAGAGATGAATGACTACCCCGTTTTCAATTTTACAGACTGGACCAGAAAACTTTCTTACAAAGTGTGGACCCGAAGCAAGACATAAAAATGTCAAATTTTCACTTTGATCCACCATTTAACCTTTCCCAAGGAGACGTACATGCAGGGGCGTAGGAAGCATCAAACGATTTGGGGGGGGGGGCACCGGCTTCCAGGGGCACTTTTGGATATTGAAAAGGGCATGGGGGGGGGGAAATAATCTATCCCGTCATACCATACTAAAATTGCACATTTTTGACCATATGTTTTTTAAAAAAATCGAAATTTCCAGACAATTCAGCTGGTGAGATTCAAGTTTTGGGACTCAATCTCCAGCAGAGCAAGCAAAATCTTCAGCTTAACAGGAAATTCTCTACTGAGTCCTTTGAATAAGACATGGACATTATATTGTGTTCAAAATAGTTCGTATTTGCAACAATAATATCATAAAAGTTGTTATCATCTTCATAACATCCGACGTATTCGAGAGTTTTTTAGGAGCTATTAGTGAATTCGAAGATAGAGAGTCTGTGGTACAAGAAGTAATAATGTCAAGGATAGACTATTGCATGTAATAGTCTTCTATTTGGTGTTACAGATGTACATATGTCTAAACTACAACGGCTACAAAATACAGCAGCACGTCTTAGTATATGTTCTAAGCATGGTCGCATCACTCCCACTCTGATCAAACTACACTGGCGTGCTGTACGATTAAGGATCAAGTTCAAAATTGCCATGCTTGCTTTTAAATGTATCCATCAGTCAGTATGCACCACTCTATCTTGTCGATCTTTTAAAAGTAAAAAAGGCGTCGTGCTATAGTCTAAGGTCTAGAGAAACTAGACTTTTTGGCAATCAACTTGTAAGTTAATTTATAGTGTAAAAAAATCTATAGTGCAACACTCTTAATAATTATCAGTATACTAGTCTCTTTTCAACACAGCAAAATATCATTCTGTGAAACCCTATAGTTCATAGCTCGATCGATCCCTATGACAGGATTCGTCATCACAGAATGGCATGTTGTCAGATACGCCAATGAAAAACCTGTCAGTTTATGGAATATAAAAATATATATGTTACCACCAATTCAGATATAAAAATTCAAACCCTCTGACAGTCTGTCCTGCAATTTCTGAAAGCAACAATAGTCACAAAATACACCTGATTTCCAAACATGGCGCTGCATTCCATTCCTATGGCAACGTTTTTCTATGTTTAGCTCTTTCTGTCTTTGCCTTTCAAAAAAGCAAACTTTGACAGTACTTTAAATTCTCATCCTATTTCATACTTATTTCATATATTATTTGTATTTGTTGCAGTTTTCTGTATATTTCTATATTAATATTTTCAGTAACATTGTGACATTTTTTGTGTCATCAGTACACTTTGTTTTGACTAATTCCATCTGATTGGTTTATTTTTTTGTCATGTGAACGATTTTATATTCACTAGTATAAAAACTCATGTAATTTTCCAGCTGCTAAGTAACTTTCCAGAGCAAGGGCTTTTGTAATTTGCAGAAGTTCTGCTTGTATTTTTCATGTATTTGCAGGGCCAGATTAACGTTCCGCGGGGCCGGTGGCATATTATCAGCGTGGGGCCTCTTGACCCCGCCCCTCCTCCCAACAGTTGATTTCACGAAACTTTGGCCACGCCAGTTGCGAGGTTGGTTGGGAATTTGGGAACTATAAACACAAGATCATCAAGTTGATTGGAAACCGGCCAATCAAATTCGGAAGTTTCGCATCAAATTATCGAAATTCGTACTGAAATTCCGAACCAACTTCGCAAGCAAGTTCGCAAATTGCAAACGATTTTGGCGGTAAATTTTAAAAACTAAACTTATTGACCTTTTGACCCCCCTATTTATAAGGGTAAACTTCGTTTGCCCCACCCTCCCATTTCCCAACCCCCCCTCCCCATAAATGACCACTCCCTAACCAGCGAGATCTTGCCTCTTTCGAATAGCGAGATCTTGCCTCTTTCGAACGAGACCTTGGCAACCGGGCAAGCCCGTTTGTCTATACAAATCTAGGGTAATTTTTACTATAAAAATAACTATTCTTGGGTCTCATATGAGTGACAGAGGGTCAACTCTAAAACAAAACACAGTAATTATCAGAGTGAGTTGATTGTTTGTTTCATGTATTGGCCTTGTGTTTGGTGGCAAATACATGGAATTTTGTATCATTTTCTCACTCCAGCACAGCATAAGCATCGATACACTTGAGGTTGACCCCCCGTCAGATTCACTGCATATAATGCCGTAGTGAAACCCAAGAATACACAGCGAGATCTCACATGCTGGCTACTAAGCCTGGCCGGCTTCCATACAAAGGTAGTCTAATGTAGTCTACGGTATAAGTTATGCCATGTATTGTGTAAAAAGTATTGTATGCATATTTCCATTCCAAGAAAGAGCCAATATATAAAATATTTTGTATCGTCGCTGATTAGCTGTAAGCTAACAAAACGAACCCGCACAGATACAAAAACTATACTTCAGGCCATGTAAAAAAATATCCCGGGTTTATCATCAGCACCCGCATCCATTTGTTGTGCCGCATGGATTTTTTTAAAAAAAATTATTTTTAAAAAATCACTATTTCCGACGGACCATGAGAGGAACCACGCGAGATTTTCGGCCCGATATTCGACCATTTTGAAAACACGAGTTCATATTGACAACGTTGTATGATATTGCGCTTGGGCCATATTTGGCGATTGTTGGCAATTGTAATATTGATAAGTGTATTATAGCATTTAAAATAGTATACCATACAACTGTGCTGCGCGTTTGAGCGTATTTAAAAAAAAACAATCTGCTCGCACGCACGGGTTTTTTTCTGCTGCCACTGATGATAAACCGGGATATTTTTTTACATGGCCTCAATACAAAATAATGAACATATCTCAAGATATTCGCTCGATATTAACAACGTTCCGAAGGCCCGTGGTTGTTTCTTAAAAATAAATAAACATATTTGATACTTTTGCTTCACATTATCAAGAAAATTTGATACATACCTGTGTAAAGAACAACAAAAATTATTCCCTTATTCTTCGAAAATGTTTAAACAATCAGGAACGAATGAATATTATAAATTTTACATGTCCCAGACTGGAAAGTTTGCAAATTGCGCACCCGAGATGAATATTTCCCGTAATTTTGCGCGTCCCATTTCTGAAATTGCGCGTTTGATATGAAATTTTGCGCCTCCAATTTGCAAAGTTAGTTGTGCTGTTGCACATATATTTTTTCCTTAACATAGAAAGCGGTTAATTTTAAGCGGGCTGCAGCTGGGGCATTCCCATTTCCAGTTTTCCTAGCGTTATGCCATGCAGTCATTCACATTGACTGAACTACTTAAAGAGACAGTCAGCCGAGTCAGGCAGAAAACTGAGGGAAGCTCGCGAAATCCGAGTTAAGTCCGGCAAACTCTATTCACTAATCAATATAGACCAATAGTCTATTGGCACTTTATCACCTATACATGCTACTACATTGCTACTTTACCATTGGTATTGCTACAATGCTACTTTACCATTGACCATAGTTACTTTACAAATACAAGGTAGTAAAGTACAAACAATATTTTTAGTAACAAAAATTATTGGTTCTTCCTGACCTATTCACAACAACACCCATTGACGCACTTTACGGATCGGTAAAGTAGGTTCACCATCCGTAAATAATTTTGACGAATTGTACGAACCGTACGGTAGGTGAAGCCATTTCACAGTTCCCATGCATTGACGCACTTACAGACAGCACCCATTGACGTACTTTACGGATTGATAAAATAGGTTCACGATCCGTAAATCATTTTAACGAACCGTACGGTCCGTAAACTGAGCCATTTCACAGTTTGTACGGGACCGTACGATCCGTACGGATCGAGTCTGATCGACAAACGTTTTTCACCTGACTTAGACACAACAGCACCGATTGATGCACTTTACGGATCGGCAAAGTAGGTTCACGAAAAACATTGCGCGAACTCAATAACTTCAAACATTATATAACCTTAGAGCACATCCTCAATATAATTATTCATATATTATTGCTTCGTTCTTTAAAAATATTGAGCGAACTTAATAACATCAAACATTAATTACATTTTATAACCTTCAGAGTACTGCCCTAACTGCCTCTATATAATATAATCATTCATATTATTGCTTTGTTCTTTAAAAATATTGCGCGAACTAAATAACTACAAACAGGAGGGGAAACCATTGAGGGGGGAAACGAATTAAAATGTAGACACTTGAAACGACGGCATGTGTTTGAAGCATTTGGATATATTACAATTTTCAAACTAAAATACAGATTTTTGGAACAAAATCGATCAGTTTAGTATGACTAATTACTTTTCTATTTGGCCACTCCAAATTAGACTTTAGTTTCTCCCGTCCGGCCCTTATTTCAAGTTACACGCGGGCGGGGCGGCCTTTCCATTATCCGCGTGTCTGAAAGAATCTGACACGACCCATTATTCCATGAAATAGAATAATAGATACACATTT